TCTTCCTTTTTAAGTGGAGATCCAGATTTCTGAGCTATGTCTTTTTCTTCTATCACAGAAATTCTTTTAACATTTCTTGCAAGACTTTTATACTGGTAATGGATTTCCTTAATTTTTGTTCATATGAGAAAGTATTTCTCCTTCACTTTTGAAGGATGATTTTACAAGGTAAAGGACTCTAGGAGGTGGGTTTCTTCTCTCAACTCTTTTTGAGTGTTTCATTTCACTGACTTCTTGCTTGCCTGGAATCTGAGCAGATTTTATATGTAATTGTTATCTTTTCTTCACTATGAGTAAGATATTTTTCCCTCTGCCTTTTTGTAGATTAAAAAAAAAAGTTTGATTTTCTGTGGTTTAACAATGATATGCTTAGGTGTAGATTTTTGGCATTTATTGTGGTTGATATTCTCTGAGCTTCCTGGGTTTTTGGTTTGGTGTCTGACATTAATTTGTGGAAGCTCTCAGGCATTATTGTTTCAAATATTTCTTCTGTTTCTTTCTCTGTCTTTTTTCTGGTATTCTCATTATTCTATGGTACATTAGTCTATGGGACATTTTTGTAGTGTCCCCACAGAGCTTGATATTATGTTCTGTTCTTTTGTCTTAGTTCTCTTTGCTTTTCAGATATTGAAGTTTCTATTGAATGTATTTTCAGGCTCAGGAATTCTTTTCTCAGCCTCTTTGGATCTACTAATAAGCCAATTAAAACCATTGTTTATTTCAATTACAGTGTTTTTGATCCATGGTATTGTTTATTTTTTTTTTTTTGGTTGTTTATTTGTTTGCTGTTTTCATTCTTTCTTAGGACTTTTATCTCTACTTTAATTGCCCATCTGTTGAATACTGTGTGCTTTATCTATTTGAGCCTTATTATTGGAGGTTTTTTTTTTTTTACCATCTGATAATTTTATCATCCTTGTCATACCTTTTTCTGATGCTTGCTCTGTCACTTCCAACTGTTTCTTTGTTTATTATCTTATTTTGTCTTTTAGAATGCCTTGTAATTTTTTTCTTTATAGACAGACATGATGTACAAGGGAAAAGAAACTACTGTAAATATGCATTACGTAATGTGGTAGTAAGGTGTGGAGAAAGGGGAGCCATCTTAGTCTGTTTGGACTTCTATAAAAAATAGAGTAGGTAATAAAAGAACAACAGAATATTTTTGTCGGGCCTTAAAAACTAATGCCACCTTAAGTGACATTACAAGCGGCGCCATTATGGGCCCACAAAGGCGTATTAACGTGACAGCCTAAGACGGCGCCGGGAGGGAGTAGGGTGGGAGTGTCTGTGGGAACCTTATTGGCCAAATACGCACTTCCG